CTTCAACTCGGTCTTGTCGTCTCCTCTCAAAGCGTCTCTCACGAAAAACACATCCGTGTCAAGCTGCACCATCTGCAAAGCGCCCCTCAACACTCCACAGTACAACTGGGAGTACCAGAGCTCTTTTTGGATCTTGGGGTCCAGCGTGACAGGAAGCTCGACGAAATCGGCAAGCGGGTTCTCGGTGAAAACCAATGAAAAGCTTTTGCCGTCGGCACCGAAATTCTCCACCGAAGGCGTGATGTTGAGGAACATCTTGAAACCAACTTTGCTGATCATTTCGGCTGTTTCCTTGAACAGCAGGCACCGCTGGGCACCCGTCTTGGCCAAAAACTCCTCAATAAGACGAAGCCCGATATTGTATCCCATTTTGTCAAGTTGGCGGTTGACTTCAGCATAGTTGTTGTTCAAGTCTCTACAAAGCTGAGCCACCACTGATCCGTAGGTGAGCGTGAAAAGCTCAGTGTTCTGATGTTAGTTGAATTGGTGAGGTCGGTTTAATTGGTACATACGATCTTCTCGGGGGTGTTCTTCCAGATGCTGTCGGCAGAGTACTTGGATTTCGACATAAGAAAGTAGTTGGTGATTTGTACTGCACGCGCCTGGGTTATTGGTTGGACCCAGCCTGGAGGGTGATATAGTGGAAGGGAGAAAAAAAAAAGACGTAGACAAGAGAAAAGTTTTTTCAAAGAGTTCAATTTTGGAGAAAAGGCAGGTTTTGGTTTTTTAGATGGTGAGGTGGTTGGGTATCTACCCTTGGGTTAGAGGTGAGAGGCTGTGAATGATCAGGGCTTCCTTTTCAGAAAACTGTTAATTGTTGATGCAGCATCTTTGAGATCTTCTTCGTCTTTTCGTCGTCTTATCAACTTTTCGTCTTATCGACTATCTTTATTCGCTCTAGTGGGGGGCTGAGGATAACCTCTAAGAAATGTTCGTGATGCACCGGTAAACGAGCTTTTAGCCGAAATAGAAAAGCCATGGTGTATCAAATCAGTGCCTCTAGCCATAAACCAAACCTTTTTATTCTGGTTACGGATTTTGGTAGTAATTCGAATAGGGTGGGGTTCTCTATTAGTGGCTCACCTAATGCTCTATCACAGTAGTGGGTCCGTTCAAATGGCGATTTCTCATACAAACCGTTCAATCTTATACTCGATTCCTCCTCCGAGCCTGAATCAAAAAAACGGCATTTCCTAGATTTCGTTGCGGTGAGTCCATAGCAAAAGACCCCAATACCATCCTCTCACTATCTCTCAACAACCTCACAAAGCATTTTACCCGCTTTGCCGACAGACGGAAACTTCCCTTTTTTGAGACACCTCGTAGGACTCCATTTCAATCACAAAATCAGATTTCGTCGTTCAACCAGCATTGCATCTTGGTTTGTGCTTCCATGATACCACCTTTCAGACTCTCACTGCAAGACCGTTATCAACAAGTCTGACCTCCGAATTCGGCAACAAGCCGGATCTCCGTGGGTACCAGAAATGTGGAATTTCACAATTTGTTCTACTGTGAACTTACTAACAGAAACAGAGGAAATTGTTCCACTGAGATAAAACCTCAGCCCTACCCACCCTAGGCACCCAAAAGCCCTTCCCATCCTAGCCAAGTCCCCAATTCCCAACACATGGTGGCTTGTGTCACCGCCGTGACCACAAAACCAGCCAATGGCTTCTCGCTTCTCACAATCATGTGTCAGTGCCCTGAAGAAGCCGTTTTGTGCTCCACGACTCCTATTGTAGCGCCAGCTTCGCCTATCGCAACAACGTGGACCACAGTAGCGCCACAGGATTGTTTCGGAAAAACCGTTTGCTGTTTTGCGAGGTCACCGTAGCTTAGCGCAAACGGCCTTGGTTTTGCGTTTCGCAGCCATTATCCAAAGAGTCACAAAGCCCTCAAGGCCCGGGTAAGCGACGAAGGGGAAAAGGGGCACCATTTAGCGATGCCCCAGTTGACGAGGAGTCACAATGGGGTGAAAATTTTCTGGAAACCGTTGCACACACAAGCATTGACGCTCAAGCACATTTTGCGCTATGGTGCTATATCAGCCATCTGAGACAATCCCGGTTTCACCTGAGACACCTGGACCCATTGGGATTAGACGATCTGAGAACAATGAACAGGCGATCCGCAAAGAGGGGGGCCAGAACGTTCGGATAAATCAGCATCTGGCTATTGTGATCCACGATGTTCCTTCACCTCGGTTCAGCCTCACTGCCCTGGTAACGATGCTTCAATGCTCCAGCCAAGGCAGAGATCGATTTTGATCGATTTTGGAAAAAAAGCCAGATTTGGGAATCGTGCATCTTTTAGGTCCATCTTCAATTGCCGATGACTTTTCATGTGGCCTTGCGTCTGGAGTGCTGCGTTTGCAGCCAAAGCGCTTTCAACACCTTTGTGGCCATTGTGGCACCGGAACCGTAAATTCCAAAACTCCCTATCCGAGGCTGAAACGTTCCACGTTCCACGGCTTTCACCCCTATCCGAAAAAATGGCCTTCAAAAAATCACACTAATTTCGTTTTCCATATCCTGTCTGACGATCCGTCCAGAACTCCTCGCTTTACAAATCTCACCCGACCACCTCAGGCCATGCACTACCAATGCAAGAGGCCACTTTTCGAATCAAGCCAGAAAAACACTCATTGCATGTTAAAAACTCTCCAGTAATGTTTTAATCCAGCAAGTTCATCCGGATAGGGGCCCCATCGGGTGAGTTGCTGTATAGCCTCGGACTTCGGATTTACAATGGCGAATTCCAAATAAATTACGTCAATCCCTAATTCAATTCTTCCGCTTTCCCTTTCCGTAATCCACCCGTCCGTTGAACGCAACTGTCCTTCTACATGGTGGCATCTATTCTTGTATCGGCCTCACGTGCTTTCCGAGCTGCGTATGGGTTTCTTTTTATTTTTCCTGCTCCACTATATAAGCGTTGCGCATCCTCAGCTCACAAACACACCACTGTCTTTTTCAAACATGGACGTGCTACTGCCTCCCGCTAACATCCTGGCAGCCGTGGCCGATGCTCTTTTACCTCCGCCGGTGCTAGTCGCTCCCAAGGGCGATCTTATCCCGGGAATCCCCGATGGCATCTTGGCTATTTTCGCTCCCGTTATCGCCTACTGGACCTACTCCACCTTTTTCCATATAATCGACGTGTACGAGCTCGCGGAGAAATACCGTATCCATCCCTCTGAAGAGGAGGAGCTGCGGAACAAGGCGCCTTTGCGTGATGTCTTGTTTGACGTTGTGGTGCAGCACATCATCCAGCTGGTGGTGGCTTACGCTGTTTACCGTATCGACCCCCCTCCCACGACGGGTCACGAGCTCTACCAGATATGGTACCTCAAGCACAACTGGGCTCCCTCTTGGGTCTCTGACTCGTTGCTTTGGTTTGCTTACACTTACGGCTGGCTGGTGCTCCGCATGGGCTTTGCTTTCTGCATCATCGATACCTGGCAGTACTGGCTTCACAGGACGATGCACTTGAACAAGACCCTCTACAGGCGTTTCCACTCGAGACACCACCGTCTCTATGTGCCCTACGCTTACGGTGCTCTTTACAACGACCCAGTGGAGGGTTTCTTGCTCGACACTGTGGGAACAGGCATAGCAGGCATTGTCACGCAGCTCTCGCCTCGTGAGTCTCTTTTCGTCTACGTTTTCGCTACGATGAAGACCGTGGATGACCACTGCGGCTACCGCCTTCCATGGGACCCCTTCCAGTTCCTTTTCCCAAACAACGCCATCTACCACGACATCCACCATCAGAACTGGGGCTTCCGCAACAACTTCTCCCAGCCCTTCTTCACCATCTGGGACCGCATCTCCAACACCCAGTACCAGTTTGTGCAAGAGTACAAGGACAAGCAGAACAAGATCACCTTGGAGAAGTACAAGCTTTTCTTGGCCCGCAGACAAGAGAGAAAGGATGCCTTGATGAAGAAGTCAGCTTCAACCGCTTCCACAAACTCCACGGACTCGTCCGAGTCCAACACCGCTGTCAGCACTCCTGTCAGCGAGAACAAAAAGACAATCTAAGCAGAGCCCTAATAATAACCCCCTGGCCTGCGATGTAATAGCATGTAATGAGGAACGCAATTGATAAATATTGGACTTTGTATTGTAGAGGTTAGAAAGTTGAATGTAACGCATTTCTCACCACGATCGGCATTCCGTGCATTGATCATCGAGATAAGCAGGAAGCTTATCCGAATATGCATCGTTTTCCGAACTATCGGGAAACACCATCGTCACATTTATTATGCATTAAATTTGTATAGTAAAGACTTTATGTCATTCAAATCTCATCGTTTAATTCCCGAGACGGTCACTGAATGTCAACAAACGGTTGCCATATAAGGAACGGCATGACCGTTGATTTTACACATTATGCTGAAAGATGCAGCTGTTGAATACAAGGCCGGTACCGGGCTATTTTTCACTCAATACGCTTTAAAATGGATGAATTTGTCATATTCTTGACTCATTCGGTGATCTTCAAGTATTCCCGAAAACCTCGGTTCTCCCCTTTTGCAGCCATCATGAGGCAGTTCCTATAAAATCGAAATCCACAATTAATAGCAAAACACAAATGAGCTATTCTTGGCTATTCGAACAACCTCAATTGATTATGAAGTTCAAAATTATAGCTTTTTTAGTTTGTCGTTGACTCATCTGTGTGCTAATCTCGAGGTCAGTTTACCTGCATCGCAGTGGATATATCCGATCCAGGGTTCAAAGAAGTTCCACATTCACTGACCATTTGGGTTAAATTCAAAAATTTTCTAACGGTATATGAAATTATGAACCTCTTAGAAATCACTCCAAAAAACTTCAATCTATTTTAGTGCCTTGACATCGCAGGTCTGCAATGGTTCTGGACCCCTGGATATGCGGTTAATATGTGGAGTGCATCGCTGTACCGCAAACCATAGAAGTATAAATACCGCCTCTTTTCCTACTCAATTGGCCTAATTCCTTATATTTTCCAAAATGACTACCTACCAGGATCAGGACTTTGACGCTGAACGCTACAACGCCGCAAGACCGACGTACCCGGACACCTTCTACGACCACTTGGTCGAACACCACAAGTCCCATGGAGGCTCTTTGGATCTAGCCTTGGACGTTGGCTGTGGACCAGGTTTCGTGGCTTTCAAGCTCCTCAATTACTTCAAACAAGTGATTGGTACCGATTTCTCACCAGCCATGATTGGTCATTGCACCAAGGACCCCAGGGTGGAGTTCTCCGATAAGATCCGGTTCTATGCTACTCCAGCAGAACAGGCACCAGAGGAAATACAGCCCCACACGGTCGATTTGATCACAGCAGCCGAAGCCTGCCATTGGTTCGACCATCCTAAATTCTTTGCCGAAAGTGCCAGAATCTTGAAATCTGGAGGTACTCTCGCATACTGGTTCTACTTTGATCCCGTCTTCGTGGGCAACCAGAAGGCCACTGATCTTGTAGTTGAGTGGCTGTACGACTCGTCCAAGAAGAAGTACGGAGACTCGTACGAACGGTTCTTTGGCCCCTACTTTGATCAGCCAGGCCACGACATTTTCAGAACCACCTTATCGCATATAAGTCCGCCCGAGTCGGAGTTCAAGGACATTGTGAGACATTACTACCACCCTCACGAGAACGAGGGAGGCGCCAGCTTTACCCCATTGTACATTGAAAGAAACGTCTCTCTTGAAACCTTCAGATCCCAAGCAAAAAGCTGGTCTGGCTACCACAACTGGAAGCACGACAATCCAGATAAGCCAGATGCAGCGGACGAGTTGATTGACAAATTGGCAGAGGCACTTGGCGTGGGTTTGGATGAACCATTGCATGTGGTGTATCCCACGGTCTTCACGTTTGCCACGAAGAAGTAGTAGCCTGGAATTGCTGCAAATGAATAGATGAGTAGATGAATAGATGAACGATTATGTGCCTTAGGCGTAAGAAGGTCACAATCTGAGGACGACGTAAAACGGACTCATTGTTTTGATTTGTTGCGGAAATAAATTTTTCAAAGTCCGGGGTAACGATATCCATCATTGTGCTTCAGAGCAGATTGAAACTGTGAAATGTTGTACCACTGGCATCAAAAACGGCCCTGCAATAAATGTAAATTATCTTATCATTGGAATCAAAAACCTGAAGATCTCTCACAATGAAAACGCATCGTTGCCGGTTTCAAACCAAAACACGCCCCACGAAACAATGCTGTCAAACCGATAGACCAACTAGAGATGAGGCTTAATGCCGTTATCTAGTCACGTCAATTCCAAAGTGTCTAAGCGAAAATCCACATTGCAAAATAAAGAACTCTCGAAACTTCCAGAAATATCATCAAATCATGTTTCCCGGATTTCATCACCCTTTTACACACGCAGCACAGGATATGTCATCTGGCACAGTCCGATTTGACTAACCCCGTCAAACAAGCTTATCTCCTGCATAGATTACCCCAGGGTTTGCTCCATCAGTTGGTAGTATTTTAGTAATACTCAGTCACTGTATGCCGTCCCCGCTGACTAGCTGCCTTCGGTGCATTTACTAAATAATGACTAGCAGCGTACTTATAAGGGGCCGATTTCCAGAGTGAAAGTTAATGAGAATTATCTTTTTCTGCTTCCTATTGACTATTGCAAGCGCCATGACTACGAGATCTATCAAAGCTATTATGCCTGCCATCGAACAGGCTGAAGGTGTGGGTGCCAGAGTGAGAAGAAGTATAGGCAACATGAACATGAGAAACTTTTCTCCCTTTTTGATGTTTGACCATTTCAGTTCCAACGGTAAGGGTGGTTTCCCCGAGCACCCTCACTTGGGTCAGGAGACCATCACCTTGATGTTGAAGGGTGCTTTTGCCCACGAGGACTTCACTGGTTCCAAGGGTGTTTTGAGAGAAAACGACCTTCAATTCATGACCGCTGGTCGTGGTACCGTGCACTCTGAGATGCCTGTGATCCACCCAGACGGCTCTGCCAACGTTGGTTTGCAATTGTGGGTCGACTTGCCTGAGAAGCTCAAGGAAGTCGAGCCTAGATACAGAGACTTGAAAGAGTGGGAGGTTCCCGAGGTTACCGACCAGGACGGCAAGGTCATTGTCAGAGTCATTTCCGGTGAGTCTTTGGGCGTCAAGCTGGAGAAGGACTTGGCCTACACGCCGGTCAACTACTACCACTATAGGATGAAGCCAGGCTCTCTGTTCAAGCAGAAGGTGCCTAAGGACTTCAACTTCTTCTTGTACCTTTTGCAAGGTGGCACTCTCAAGCTCGGTGACCGTAAGGCCAAGGAGTTCGACAACGTCTTCTTCAACGCTGACGGTGACACCATTCTGGGTGAGTACCCTGAGTCCAACACCAAGGATGCCGAGTTTGTGCTTGTGGGAGGCCAGGTTTTGGAGCAGCCCATTGTGCAGCATGGCCCCTTCGTTGCCACCAGCAGAGACAGAATCATCCAGGCCTTCCAAGACTACCAATACGCCCGCAATGGCTTTGAGAGAATCAAGTCCTGGAACACCCTTATCTCGGGAGGTGTAACCGAGGACATGATCAACAACCAATTGGGAGGCAGTTTGGAGGCCCGTGCTGCAGAGAAGGCAAAGTACTTGGGCCGCAAGGACGAGCTTTAGGGTTTATAGAAAATGGATGTTTTGGATATGAAAATCGCTAAGAAATTGAAGCGGCGTTCCTTTGTTCATGCCGCATTGTTGTAGTGGCATTGTAGACTAGGAGGGGAAGCAAGAATTCCAGCTCATGCCCGGAGAAAATGCTTGACTTCTGGCTTGGAGGGGTGTAATTCCGGCGAACATGAGGTATTCTGGTTTTCGAGCCTTGCTCATTATCCTCTTTTCTTGTATTGTGACTTTTCCGATCTGGGGTGCCTTACGGAAGGATTGTGCATGGACAAATAATGATTAACTCAAGAAAAATTAAAGATTCGAAAAGGGACTAATTAGCGAAAAAAAACAACGCCTGAATGGTGACCATCCAAACATTGTATCTGATGAGGGTGTTTCAAGCACCTCCGGAATTTTTCACCCCACACTCAAATTTTCAGATTTTTCGGTCCCACCAGAATTTGAGCTCCGACAGAAGATCAGCCTTCAAATTGAAAAATTCAAACTCTTAATAATATCCTGATTATTCACGGACCCTAGGACTGGCCGAAGATTGACCTGTATATACTCCTCCCACCACCTCTAACGCGCTTTAGTAGTCTGATCAACCTTCATCGTGAATAAGATGACCATGGATATAACCCCAGATCAGGTTAGATATATCGCCGATAAACTTGATTCTCATACTGTCACCTTCAGCTCAGTTTCTCGTGATCTTAATGTGCATACTTCCCAGGCCAAACGGATCCTTTATGCCTACTATTCTCTGAACAAGGAGAAGTTGAACGCGTTGTACGTGGCCAGCGGGACCCAGGGCACGAAAACTGTGGTGAAAATCGTGGAAAACCCCGATGAAAATTACCTACTGGATCTGTTTGATCAGGTTGGCTCCATCCACATATACAGCATTTCCCAGAACAAATTTTCATTCAGCACAAGCGACATAGCATTGGAGCAGCTCAGGCGACCTGTGGATTTCGATAAAGTGGAATCCTACTACGAGCTAGGCATGATCCGTGGAAGACCGCTCAAGACTGTTCTGGCACAGGTTGCACCACGTTCTAAGGTTGAGCCACCAAAGCCTAAAGCAGAACCAAAGAAAGAGGCACCAAAGGTGGAATCCAAGCCAAAGCTTCAATACCAGTCTAGAAAGGAAAAACCACAAGCATCATTGTTATCGAACTATGTTTCTCGTAAGGACGAGAAGAAGCAGAAAGAGGACGATTCGAAGAAGCGCAAGCCCGACCAGAGCTCGGGTTACCAGTACAAGTCTAGGAAATTGGAGAGCAAGCAGCCGAAGGAGCGTGTGATTGTCTCTAATGAGACGGAAGAGCCCGAAGAAGAGGAGCCACAGAAGAAAGCAGCTCCTGCCAAAACCACTGATCTCAATTCGTTGTTCTTGGACGATCTCAGCGACTTTTCAGATAACGACGACACCAAAGAGGCGCAGGAGAAGGAAGAGCCCATCATGGTCGAGCCAGAAGCTCAATCCAAGCCTCAGGAGAACGAGCAGCAGCCCAAAGCCACTGTCGCGCCGCTGTTGCCCCAGGGTTCATCGTTGCGTTCTCTTACATCCAAATCGCCCACGCCGCAGGCGGGCGAGAACGCAGGCACGGCAGAGGATGCCCAGGAGCCTGAGCCTGTTACAACAATTGACGACGAAGGCTACATAGTGACTAAAAAGGCGGAACCCAAGAAGAATGAGGCGCCCAAGCCGGCAAGGAGAGCCGCTCCAGCGCCTAAGAAAGCAACTCCTTCCAACAAGAAGTCGGACGGCACCAAGAAACAGGCTCTGTTAATGAGCTTTTTTGACAGACGCTGATCCATCTTACGGATCTGCTAAGCCAACCTTGGGGGTCCTTGTCAAGGCGCACGGTTTCTGGGTATTCAGCAAGATGCTGCATGGTTAAGCAGTATAAGCGTCGGAACGCTAACCTACCTGGCAAGCGAGAAAGAAGTAAACAAGTTTACTAATTTGGCATGGAACGAGTGGCATCGGAACCTTGGAAGTTCCGAGATGGTACCCTTGGCTACTAAAAGGGCTCTGCCGAGACTTGTGCCGACACCCGAGGCCACAATACCTAAGGCCCGCACGAATAATTCGCAAGATCCGGGTCCTACCCGTTCGAGGAAGTGACAAAAGATGCATCCAAGACACATTCCCAATGCAGTTGTGGCTATTCCCCTTCAGACTAGGGCGCATCGAGGATATAATGAGTTTTGTGCATATTTGCCTGCACGCGCGCAGCACTGTTCAAAATGTCACTTCCTAATCGGGTAAAGATTTTGCAACCAGTGAAACACGTTATAACTTGTTACAGTAATTCTTGATCCTGACGACAAAACAAAGTTATTGCTGGACGCAGTATGCACTGGTTAAATATATAAGGCACTAGCGGCATGTATCTGCAATTCCTCATAAATTTTTGAGTGTTTACTGATTCACAAAATCCAAAGAAACGGTCAAAAGTTCACCACCCACACTCGTTTTGTCAAGCCCCAACCAATTGAGAGATGAAGTTTAGCCAGTCCGCCTTGATTGCCACTTTGGCCGCCACCGCAGTCCATGCTGCCCCTGCCCAGGTTGATAACGCATCTTCCGATGTTGCCCTCCTGGACTCTGCCCTTGCCAAGAGACAAGACTTGGAGGGTACCTTGATGCAATTGAAGGAGTTGGATGAGATGAGAGTCAAGAGATCCAACATGGACGAGCAGTTGACCGCCAGAGAGTACGAGATTGTCACCAAGGTGTTGAGCGCCATTAACGACACTGACTTGGCTCCAACTGTGTTGAAGTTCTTCGTTACCCAGCCTAACTTGAGACAGATTGCCATCAACGCTATCGTCTGGGTTTTGGAGAACTCTCAGATTAACTTGACCACCTTGTTGAAGGCTCTTGTGGACTCTGGTTTGCTTAGCAGAGTGCTCACTGATGTCCTCAGCGACTGTGAGGTCTACGTCTCTGTGATTGGAATTGCCACTGACGTTATCAGAAGTCTTCTTGGCAACCTCTTCGGCAAGCGTGAGCAGCTTCTTGAGGGTGGTATCATGACCCACGAGGAGACTGTCGAGCTCTTGAAGAAGGATGGTTTGATGAAACCAAGCATGCTTGACATGGAGAAGAGAGACGGTATTGACGTGAACAACATTGTCAACAACTTGTTGGAGAGTTTGGCCAACTCTGGCTTGGCTTCCTCTGTTGTCATTGCCGTCCTCACTGACCGTGCTTTCATTGACTTTGGTGCTGACTTGATCAGAGCCATCATTGAGAGCGACGGTGAGACCAACCTCAGTATTGGTGAGCTTGTCTCTGCCATCACCAACTCCGGTCTTATCCCAGAGTTGCTTGACCTCCTCCTTGACTCCGACACTTTGTCCACCATTGGTCGTAACGTGCTCAAGGCCGTTACTGGTCAGTGTGGTGAGGCCGACACTTCTGCTCGTCCAACCACCACCCTGGCTGCTGCCACCACCCCAGCCACCACTCAGCCAGCCTCTACTCCTAAGACCACTGAGGCTCCAGCTGGTAATGGCGATGTTGGCACTGTCTACACCACCGTCAGAAAGAGTCTGACTGTGTGGCACGAGGCTGCTCCATCCGACCCATGCGCCACGTACCACGACAAGAGAGAATTCAAGAAGCTCAGGTTGAACTACTGAGGGCTGCGCTAGTCGTTGACCCCTTGTGTTTTGCCATATGACAAAAATGTTTGATTCTTCTTCCCGCGCAAACCCTTATGCTTTCGTTTGATACCTGTACTTTAATAAAACTTGTCTTGGATCTCATTGTAGTCTTGCACTCGGATACCCCTCCGGCTAATTTAGGAAAGTGGTCTTAATATGTCGACTACTTGGACCAATTGGGCCTAATTATCAGCAAGGGCGGCACCGAAGTTCCGTTCATTCCTTGTACACTGTAGACTTTGTCTACAATTGATGAACCAGAATACAAAGAGACTAAAAATAGGGGTTGAATAAGGGATACCCCTAGGTGGGCTCGTAATGGAATTTGCATTGGGCGGGCAATTGGGATCTTCCAATTCCCCTATTTTCGAATATTCGGCTTAGCCATATTCAAGATTAGCGACCCTCGTCTACGCAGAATGCTGAATTCTTCATTGTGGAATTTTCCACTCTCTAAGCGACAATAAGAGAGTTTTAGGTTGGACTTACGAGCACAGCCTTACTGGCCAAATCGACATTCTGAAGTTCAAAAACCAATTCCAGGTGGAGTATGGAATGACCACCTGCTGATGATATTTTCTAGGACTGGACCAATTGGCTGCGAAATTTGCACCCAAGTGGTCCAACACTGTATGGAGCACCATGAATGTCCCACATTGGGCAATATCCAAACATTTTTTCAATTACACCACTAACATTTCACTCTCTGGGGAATTCCAAATCAAGCATAATTTCAAACTACTTATTCTGTCTCTGCCTAGTAGGCTCTGGGATGTCTGTCTTCACCGTCAGAGTCGGAGTCCTCCACCTTCTTGTCCTCTAAGTACGGCTTCTCACCAAGAACAGTGATTCTGAAATGGTGACGGGCAGAGGTCTCGTGGTTGAGGAAGTCCAACACGGCAGTGTGGGCCAAAAACCTGTTATCCCAGGCAATCACAGTCCTGGCGTCTGTTCCTCTGTGGTTGGCTCTGACCTGGATCTCAGGGTTGTTGAGGCAGTGGTCCTCCAAGAAGTTCAAGATGAAGGCAGACTCGGACTCCTTCAAGCCCTTGATCTTGTGGATGAACCCTCTGGAGAAAAATAAACTCTTTTCGCCCGTCACCGGGTGGCTTCTCACCAATGGGTGCTCAGTGTATAAGACCTTCTTGTCTCTGCTCAACAGACCTCTAACAGCAGCAACCTTCTGGAGAATCTCATTCGAGTGGATAATCGTCAAAGATTCAAAAAACTTCTGTAATGGAGGTGACAATCTCTTGTAGGCCTCTCTCAAGTCCACAAACACAGTATCACCACCAGATGGAGGAGCCTCCAAGGCGACAAAGAAGGAGAAAGAAGAAGGGTACTCCTCGAAACTGATATCCGAGTGCCAGGCGTTGGTGTTGGTTTTGAAGCGGAAGTTTTGTTCCCATCTTTCAGGTCCACCTGCTCCTCTAAAGGTGACCAACAATTCAGGATGGTCTTTGGCGGAGTAGGCCACAGGGTGGATGTGCAAGGGACCAAAGTACTGGCCGAAGCTTCTGGCAAAGGCAGGACCCTTGTCTCTGAAATCCTGGTTTCTGAAAACGGCAAGACCTCTAGTCTCGAGGAACAAGGCCAAATCGTTTCTTCCAGCATCGTCCAACTCACTAAGCTGAACGCCGTCTATTTCAGTGCCCAAGTTGGGAGACAAGTCGAACTTTTCAATCTTCAGGCCCGCCTTGAAGAGGTTCTTGAAAGTAGGGTCGCCCAAATGGCCCTTATCGTTCTTGACATGGTCTGGGTTTACATGTTCATGAACAGCAACGTCCTCCAACTTGATTTTGTTGAGATACTCAGGGTACTTCACCTTGGAGAGCTCGTTTTCCACCTCACTGGCGTCTGCAAGCTTGCCAGAGCTGTACTGCTCTTTAAGGTCCTTCAAGTGGAGTTGATCGTTCAACTCGGATCCAGCGACTTTCCAGTAGTTGCCCATATTTGATCTTGTCCGACTACAGATGTCTGCAAAAACGCCCTGTTATATACCCCATCTTTCGGTGTGGATCTCTGGGCTCAGGAGGTCTTGATTGATAACGCAATACGATTATAGACTCGTAATCTTGAGCCACATAGTTAGATATGCGCACGAGCCACAGCTTATAAGCCCTGGAAATAAGAGACCCTGCGCCAAAGGCACAATTATTATTTGGTTTAATTTCGGAGCTGATTTAATTGCACTAAGACTGAGTTGAATTTTTTTCAAAGAATGATGCTTTTACGAGATCGAACGCAAAACCACCCGAGCCGCTTGTAGATCTAGGTATTGTTACTGTGCACCGACAGCCTCGCAAACTGTGTGTTCTCCGCCGTCTTCGTCATCTTGTGGCTCTCTGTGCTTAGGTGATTTCGGATTCTCGGCGTTTTTCGGCTATAAACTCGGTGGAGTTTCTTTTCACCGAGGGCACTAAGTGAGCCTGAGGCGAGTTAGCCGTGAAAGGACAATAGAAATGTGAAGACGAAATTTACCCCATGATTTTGCAAGATTCTCTTGGTGCCACGTGAGCTCCAATATGTGTTTGATTCTGCTAAGGTGGAAGGTGTTTGGTTATGATACCTCTGATCCATGGGTATGGTCTAGAAATGAGAAGCTGTTTTTCGGTTCGCTACTGGGTCCCACAAAACAGTCTCTCTGATAGTGAGAGAAGAATCATCAATTTTTGACAATTTTGACTTTACGATTTGCTTATTAACGTGGGCTCAATCGGTGTAAGCCACCCAGTTTCTGTGGCACTGACGGGGAAATGTGATTGATGTCTTCTTCATCAGAAGCATAGCTTGACCTTTCAGCTCAGAAAAGATGATATTGGAGAATGAAGGGCTTGTACTGGGCTACCGTGATCTTGTTTGAGGTTAGAAACAGTTCCTAGATCGATTTCAAATTATCTAGTTCGAAGATAGGCTGTCTGGAAACATTGTATGGGAATTCTTACTCCTGATCACTAATCCATATTCCCCGGGTAAAAATCCATAACTGCTGGCTCGGCTTACACCGTTCTGTTACTGATCAGCTTGATTTTCGGAAAAGATCAACCTATCCAGACATCTGAGAACCTACTGGAATTCCATTCGCTCAGGTTGTAACGAAAGAAGAACTTTCGGCCAGTGCTGCCAAAAACATCTCCA